CACTTTCATACTGGACGAGAGAGAGCGAAAGATAAAAATGAATCTTTGTTATCCTTATAACAAAATACATAAAAGAAAAAAAATGTACTGCATTTTATTTTCTGCTCGAACCTTAATACGATCTTCTATAATTTCTGATTCTGTTACTTAACTGGACTGGACGTATAGAGACGAAATACACTAAAATAAAAAATTTTCGCGAGAAATAGAACCGTTAAACATTCTATTGTTATAAAACAAACGTGATGCTCATGCGTACGACAGACAATGTCAGTTTTTGAAATCTTTCTTTTTATAAAATTTAATAGAAATGTTTTCTCATTGTCTATAATTAATTTTGCGGCGGTACAGCCAGAAGATACAGGTCTCGAATGTCATTGTGAGAGAAAGTTTTTATTCTGTTTTTATTCTTTTACTATACTCTCATAAAAGATAGGTTTCAAAATTTGGACAGACGATAAAAGAAACAGCAATTGATACTAAAATCGTTTATCTCATGAAACATAGGCAGTTATAAAAACAATCAGTCACGTGTAGTCATTCTGAATTGGACTCTTTTTTTCGTCAAGTCTTCGAAGATTTGATTCTGCTTTTGATAAAAACTGTCTCATCTTTTGATTTCAAAAGAAACTCTGAAATCCATTCTGTTGAGTAACACTTGCAGACACGATATCATTGCATCCGATGATTCAGATAAAACAACACACTTTTGTTTTTGAGTTTCTTCATAACTATTCACCTAGTAATAATTTGCGTTTGAGCTTATTCAATTGAGAATTTAATTCTCTACAAAATTAGTTCGCATAGTTTTAGAAACTTAGTCTTTATTTTTGTTATAGAATACAGAAAAGTAAAAGGTCCTAGATGGTTTTATTGCTACATCACAAATCACATCTTGTTCTACAATGAAGTCAACCTTTTACGTCGGGTACATCAAACGTTCCTCATCAAAGCCTACTTCTTTTCATGAAACGTTAAAAATTATTGGATTAAATTAGGAATGATAACAAAAGCAACGTTATTGAGACACTAAACATTTCGATAAAGCTATTTACTTTAAAAATGATAAAACAGGTAGCGTTAATTGTGTTAGTCCTAATTAAATTATTTACCTTAAAAACGTATTTCTCAATTAATCGATTAAAGTTTTGAGTGAAAGTAAAAAATTCAAAAAGATCAATATAACGAATTCTGGGCAATTTTTGATGATACTTAAGTTGTCCATCTTTCTTTTTTCATGAAATCAAAATTATCTATGGATAAAACTACCTGCAAGTTTGTAGAGAATTAAATTCTTAATCGAATGAGTCTAAGGGCAAATTTTTGCTCCATGAATATCTCGAAATAAACGAAAACAGAAGTGTCTTATTATCTTTATCTCATTGGATAATGACACCTGGTATAAAGTCCAACCATTTGAAATAAAATGTGACTTTGTGGACGTGTTCTTGTGTATTGGCCTGAATGCTGAGAAAATTTGTTTATGATTGATGGTTGATTATTAACTTGAAGCCTGAGAAAAACGTTATCATACACAAGAAAAATTTCCGACTCAAAAAGAAAAAGATAGTTCTAGCACTCTCCTGTTTCCGGTTATTATGCCCTGTCGTCCTGACAACGAGTGTGCTTCGAGTTTTACTATGTGCGTACTATGCAGCGTAAAATTATTACTAGGTGAATAGTTATGAAGAAACCTAAAAACAAAAGTGTGTTGTTTTATCTGAATCATCGGATGCAATGATATCGTGTCTGCAAGTGTTACTCAACAGAATGGATTCCAGAGTTTCTTTTGAAATCAAAAGATGAGACAGTTTTTATCAAAAGCAGAATCAAATCTTCGAAGACTTGACGAAAAAAAGAGTCCAATTCAGAATGACTACACGTGACTGATTGTTTTTTATAGCTGCCTATGTTTCGTGAGATAAACGATTTTAGTATCAATTGCTGTTTCTTTTATCGTCTGTCCAAATTTTGAAACCTATCTTTTATGAGAGTATAGTAAAAAATAAAAACAGAATAAAACTTTTCTCTTACAATGATATTCGAGACTTGTCTATCCAGGCTGTACTGGCGAAAAATAGATTGTAGACAATGAGAAAATTTCTATTAAACAAATACAACTATCTACATGGACTAACAAGAATATTCAGTAGATTTATTGTCATTGTTATCAAGCAAACAATGAATAGTCTTTGTTTGTCACAATAAATGGTGTTATACATACTATCGTTCGTCGTCCAGTACAATGAAAAAGAGAGTAAAAGAAAACGAAAAATCTATTTTTGATTTTTCCCTTTTGTTCAACGTCAAATTGAAAAGTGTATAAATACAATTGATTTTCCTACAGAAATCACTTTTCTTGTCTAACCTATCGACAGAAACACAATATGGTGAAAGTAAGTGAATTTTATTTATCTTTATCTTTGAAGTGCTAAGAGACATTGGAGTTATGTAAGTTTGAAATAATACTAGAAACCTCCTAATTCCTAGTACTTCTTTCTAATTGTTCAAACTATTCATGAAATTTTATTTTTGTTTTAGTTAACCTTAATTCTTCTCAGTGTATTTTTTGTTCAATTAAGTTTGGCAGAAAAGTAGGTGATTTTCTTTTCTAATTTTTGATTTTGATTAAATGATTTTTTATTTCTAGTTCTTATTTTATTATTTTACCAAAATTGTTGAAAGTCAATTATGAAAATCAATTGTCGGTATTGATAACAACGCAAGTTAAACAACCGGTTGATGTTACATTTGATTTGGCCATATTGGGACAACGAGTTCAAGCCCGTGTTACATGTCAACCAGGTAGGATGCCGATATTTTAAGAGTAGTATTGTGATGTGGTAGATAGAGAGAAAATGAGATTAGTGGAGGAGAATTCTGAGTTTAAGTCATTAGTTTTTCTCTACTCTATCGCATACTAAGATTTTGATTGATGTTTGTCTTCTTTATTTTTATTATAGGCGAAACGAAAAATGTCAGTTTAAGTTTGCCAGAACATTTTCCAATTGGTGCTGGTGAATTAACCATTCGAGGAACTGGTGGTATTCAATTTTCAGAAAAACGAGATTGTATTGTTTATGATAATCGTTATGTCTTATTGGTACAAACGTCATCATCATCCTACCGTCCCACTGAATTTATGGAATTACGTGTATTGGCTACGAATGAAAATTTAATGCCAATTGAACGAGGTGTTGTTGACATTGAAATATATGATAGTTATTTAAAATTGGTCGGCGAATATAGAAGAGTGGAAGTTCGAAATGGTGTGTTTATCGATTTTTATCTGATAAAAAGTAAATTTTTAGTATAATAACTTTTTCCTTTTATCATTTGTAGGTTTAACTGATGTCATTCGATATCCAGTCAATAAATATGTCAATTTTGGTTCATGGTTAGTATCAGCAACAATGGACAATACCACAGCATCAGTTGAAGTACTGGTTAGTGAACCATTAGTACCATCATTCGATTTAAAAGTATTATTTCCAAGATTTTTATTACGTACTGATACATCCTTTCGTGGTATTATTGAACTTTCTGATGATTTTAATCGTCCAATGTTTGGTCGTGCAAATATATCCATTGGTCAATTTACCGAAGATGTAGCTCGTGAAAAGCAAGCACGTGGTACACCAATGATAGATGATGATGAAACAATGAGACGTGGATTAAAAACACAAACAATTGATGTTGGTGGACGTGTACAATTAAATTACGATTTATTACAAATGTTTGGTATTGATGTTAGCAAAGCATTGGCCATCTATGTTTATGTTGATGTTATTTCACAAGTTTCTGGTCAACAACGAATTGCTAAACAAATTATTCCAGTATTTAATCGTGAAGTTGTCTATGATATTTATCCATTGGAATTTGAAGCTGGTCAAAAGAATGAATATCAAGTAAGGAAATGATTCGCACAGATTCTCTGTTCAGACCAACGGTATTTGTTTCCTAAAACTGATTCTGTATGGTTTTACCTGATGGAGAGCGAGATCTCGTATGAGCCAGAAAGAATGAACATTCTTTGCTTTTGCGTTTTGTTGTTAAGTGGACGATTTCAATTTGAAAAGAACAGATTTGCGTTTGCCATGTTTTGAACAGAGCGGTTTGTTTTCTACTCTGGTACTATTTTACTGTGCATAAAACAGGATGGGCGACTAAAAATGTGAGCTTTGATTTAGTTCCTTTCTCTTCCTATACACTTTAAGATTTATTCGACTCCTTGCATTTTATTGTCGTGCTCTATATCTTTTCTCTTCTTCTTTCATAGGTAATTGCTAAACGTCCAGATGGTAAACCAATTCAAATGGAAAATGTTTTGGTTAATTTAACAATGTTATTTGAAACTGAAAAACCCAAACCTGTTGAAATTAAAGATTTATATACACGTGGCCGTACCGATGTTGGTTTGTTCAATGTTGAAATCCCAGAAAACTGTATCGGAGTTTTACTCACAGTAAGGATTTTAAAAAGATATTTTTTCTTTCAATTTTAGTTTTACCTTCTTCTTGTAGTTGACACCATTAAGCGAAGATGGACAACATTACGGTTATCGTACACAAGAAATGGTATTGAGACCAGTTCCAAAACGTCGTGAATCTGGTGGACAATTAATGATTGAAATGATGCCCGCCAAATGGGGTCAAATGGAATCAAAACAACAACAACAACCAGAAGTTATTTCGACCATGATTGCATCTATCGATAAACCAAGTCGATTTTATATTCAATTATTACCATCAAAATCGATTCAACAACATCCAGAGTCATTGAATATGAATTATGCTTTATTAACAAATGGTCGTATTACATTATCGGGTGTATTTCGTATTCAACCAACAAAAGAATGTCAAACAATGCAACCACGTGCAATCAAGCCTGAACAAACTTCATCCACAGCACCACAATGTGTTTATAATGGCACTTTGGAATTAGTAATGACACGTCAAATGGTACCATACTCAACATTATTGGTCTATACATTCAATCCAAATTTTGGTATTAATGTTGCTGAATCCCATCGTTTTGCAGTTCAAGGTTTATTAAACAATAATTTAACAATGAATGTAACAACACACGAAACAATGGATAAGGAAGGTAATGATAAAAAACAACATATTGATGAAGAAGATATTTTACCCATACATGTTGGTAGCGATAACATTAAAGTATCATCAAAAGCAAAAGCTTATAAGCGTATGGATTTGGTACTTAATGGTTTACCGGTAAGCATTTTTCATTTCACATGCATTGAATGTGGTACGGTTCGTATAATTCACTGGTTTTTGTTGCGGTTTAGGATTCAACAGTTGGTGTTAATGTTTTTGAATTTGATGCCGTCAGTCAAGGTTTACGATCCGATATCACCATTGAACGATTATTAAAATATTCTACGGCTTATGAATATGTTCCAATTAAAGGTATGCCAACATCGACATCAAGTAACGAAAAAGTTGTTCAATCAAGAGGTTTCAAAGATGATCAATTTGACCAATTCCGTGAAACACCTGAAGAAGAACGACGTGAACAAGAACAATTTGAAAAGAATATGGAACGTGAACGACAAGGTCATCGAGTTCGTTATCCAGTAGAACAAATGGCATTTGGTTTAGTTCCAGAACGTCGCATGACACCATCTGTTGGGGATGATCCGTATATTCCATCAAATAAAATGGGACGGTTATATGGTGAACCAGAAAAACAAGAATTCGGTACTGATCGTAAGTCTTTCGAAGAAGTATCCAGACAAAAAACAAATACCGGTCGTCAATACAATGTTCATATTGATAAAAATGATTATGTTTTATCTGTTGGTATGCCAGAACTTGTAGTCTATACACAAGAACGAGATAGTAAAATACAAGGTAAACTACCAATGGCAGAACCAGAAACAAGTGATGAGGATGAGGATGACGATGAGAAAAAACAACAACGTGGTGAATATCGTCCAGTATACGGTACATTGGAATGGTTCAAAAAAGTTAATCGTCGTATGAGTTTGATATCAAAAGAAGCATTCATATTCTTGGTAAGTTCCTTATTTATTTTAGGCTTTTAAATTCGAATTTTTCGATTGAGAAGTAGCAGAAGACTTACTGGATGTTGTAAAAGATAGCAGCCGAGAGTGGATTTTATATTCGTTGAGAGAGCTATTAGTTTTATAAAGAAGGTTCCAATTTTTTCTTCAGGTTTATTTCGCTTTTATTTTGGAGATAGAATGCATTCCAAATTGTTGCCGATCATATTTGAGTTTACTTTTCAGAAATCGGAATGGAAGAAGCTTTAGATATAGTTTGTCAATAAATGTACCCTTCGAACCGCAGTAGCTAGCTACAGCTTCATCCGTTCTGAACGTCGCATATCTTGTATATATTTTTGAGTTTTTCTTGTAGCCTGTCTTCCTTAATGTATTGTTTTATAATCGATTTTATTTTTTCTTGTTCGTTAGGAATCTGGTTTATCAATTGTATCCGATTTCGGTACATTAGTTGTTCCAAAAGAATTACAACATATGAGTTTATCAACAGTCATGGATAAATTTCGTCGACAATCATTAATGAATTCAAAAGATTCCTATACAATTCGTGACGATGCCAGACAATTATTAGAAGAATACATGCAAGAAACAGATTCAACATATACACTACCACCATATGTACTAGAAGAAGAATCACGTTCATCATATTACAATTCAATATTATTTAGTCAAACCAAATTAGATCAGCAAGGACAAGGAAAATTACGATTACCAAAAATGAAACCATGTTCAACATGGATGGCTACTGGTTTTTCAATGAATCCAACATATGGTCTTGGTATTGCCCAACCATTCCGTTTACCAACATCACAAGGTTTATATTTACTTGCTAATATGCCACGAAAAGTTCAAGTTAGTGAGAAAATATTATTGTCCTATAGTATCAATAATTATTTAACAAAAGATGTCCAAAATGTCGTTGTTCGTATCCGTTCATCGCCCGATTTTGATGTTATCGAACATCAATCACAAGGTGAAGGAAAATTAATACAAATGACAAATGATTATGTCGTTCAAATACCATCAATGAAAATGGATTCTTCAATAGTACGACATATTATTATTGTACCAAAACGTGCCGGTGTTATGTCAATTGTGATGGAAGTTGAATCTGAATTCGGTGGTGACTGGGAGATTCTTTCAATTCACGTTCGTGTACGTATAATAAATGTTTTGAGAGTAGACAGAATCGATTAATTGTTGCTCGACTTATCCCATACTAGGGATTCGATTTCAGTTGACGGACATCTTTATTAAAATAATTTTTCATTTTTTCTAGGAAAGTGGTCTATACCGTAAAGAAATGTCAAATAAATTATTTGATTTAACTGAAAAATCAACATCAGGACAAATCACAGAAAAAATCAGTTCATCACCAAATCTTCGCATGGTTAAAGTATGTGTTAGTGGTACAATGTTAGATTATCTCATTCGAAATCATACAATGGACACAAAATCATTTATTGGTGTAGATATTCCATTAATTGGTTTATGGCGTGGAGTATTATTACGTCGTTATTTAAATGAAACACAACAATCAGAAGTTGGATTGATGAATATGACAATGAATAATATAACAGCAAATTATCAGACACTTCAGTTATTTACTGATGTTAATGGAACATACGGTTATCAATTCAATACTGAGAAAAAACAATCAAACTTATTTTTATCAACAGTTGCTTTGGGTGCCATGTTATCACCTTTAATGCCATTCCGTGATAATGTTACAATCAATCGTACTTTAACATGGATATTAAAACAACAACGTCAAGATGGTTCATTTGATGAAATGGGTCCATGTTCTTGTCAACGTTTCTGTACAAGTGAATATCGTCGTGATTTTATGACAAGTTTAGTTGTTTATTTCTTATCACATGATAATTTAACACATTCTTTACCATGGTTTGTACGAGAAAAATTATACGGCACTGGTGATAGTGATCAACAAAGTCCAATGTTCCGTGCAAAACGTTATTTGGAAAGCCGATTGGATCAAGTTAAAAATTGTATGTTAACAACAACATTAATGGAATTAGCTTTAATACAATGTCATAAGCTACCAACAGAATTACAACAAAAAATTCGTCAACGTATTCAAGAAAGACAATTGATAACTGAAGAAGATGGATCAAAATCAGTTAAAATTGAAAATGAAGGAGACATGATCATTGAAAATAAATTATTGTTAAATACATTGACATTATCAATTTATGCACACTACAATGACTATAAAACAACATGGGCATTAGCAAGATGGATTGTATCAAAATTAAGCGTTCATCATCAAATGGATACTCTTTTGGTAAGTGATTTTTTCTTGTTGAAACTTGAATTCTTTCTTTCTGTCTGAATGAGAGGAAAATATTTCATTATTTCAAACTCGACTAGTTGTACTACAAGTTGGAGCAATCATTTATAGATAGGCAGAACTGCTTTTCCTTCTAATCCGGTTCGTTCCATTTTCTGAATAAAAGTTTTCTTGAGTTCTACGAAGCTAGTTTTTTCAATATTAGCTCCGCACATCCCTCTAGAATCGTTAAAAAGAACAAGGATTCGGTTTATGTGTCAACACTTAGCACTGAACTAAGAAAAACTAGTTTTGTTTTATTGTAACTATTTTGTTTAGGATGCCATTTTCATGACAAAAGCATGGGTACACAGCGATTGTTTATTACGTCGTCATATGAAATCAACTGGTGAAAAATTTAATATCGTTGTTGATATGACTGTTGATGGTCGTCGACAAGAATTTCGTTTTGATGAAACGAATATGGATATAACACAACAATGGAATTTAACATTACCAGTACAACAATTAACCTACACTGTTAGCGGAAAAGGTATGGCTGGTGTAGCTATTAAACAAGTGTTTGTTGATAAAGAACAAATAACACCACCACCAACACAAGAAATTAGCGTTCGACAAGAATTTGAATCAATGTCACGGTTAAATGAAATAAGAGCCAGAACATGTTTGACATATACTCCAAAACAACAAGAACAAAATAGAAAATTAGCAAATGTAAATTCTACATTGGTTGTTGAAGTAGAACTTCCAAGTGGTAAGTAGATGTCCGAAATTTATTTTTTCGTTTAGTATTCTTTTCTAAGTATTCAAGAGATTGGAAAGGCGATTTTTTGCCAGAGAAAAGATGAAAAAAAGAGCCTGTCCTACAGGAAACGAGAGATTTTAAGGAAAAGAGGTGAGAAACTGAAATGCAGCATCAGGAGAAATCATGGTAACAGATATGACAGAATATCTAAATAGGTCAATAATGTCCGGTTATGCTAGACACTGGCAAATAACTAAGACTCGTGTGTTGTATTTTCTGAATCCGCTAAATCTTTTTGGACAAGTAACACGATACTGAGCCATATTTGTGCATAGTTTAGCTACCAATCTTCACATAAAAAGACCAACCGTCATAGAAACTTTAAAAATGAAATTTTATGAATAAAAGTTTTTTCTGAAAATCACTTTATTTTCACTAGTGAGACTATTGCAAGAGGAGTGTCATTCATTAAGACAACTCTAATAATTCATTTTATTTTATTTTGTTTCCATCCTCTCTAGGTACAAGAGTTAATCTTCGACAAATTAGTTTCTTTGTTCAACGGTACAATCAAATAGTATATTATTATTATCGACGTCACAGACATACAATGGTCTTCTTTGTTCAATGTCCAATTGGACAACAATCAAAAGAGATGTGTATGGAATGGCCAATTGAACGTTTAAGCACTGTTATTAACCAACAACCAATTGAAGTACGTGCATATGATTATTTAAAACCAGAAATATGTTCTAGAAAGTTATTTAATGTTGTCGATGCCATTAAACCACAAGCATTGGGCTACGAATATGTTAAATTTTTCCTACAATCACGTCCAGATATAAAATCAGTACCAACAATGGATTTAACCAAACCACAATAATAAAATCTTTTGTCCAAATTTGGTGCGAACAAAAGAGACACAATTTTTTTTTCATGAGAAGAAATTTTTTTATCCCCAAATCCCTTCTAATAATTAGTTATCAGTGCACTATTTATCTACATTTTTTAAAATCGTTTTATTCGTGTTAAACATTCATTTCTTTGTGTTTGTCCTTGTCTTGTTTGTCCACTCATTCTGTTTCGTTATTCGTGGTGTACAAGTTTTTTTGTTTGCCTCGTGTTTCGTTTTCGTCACTCTATGTCGTCTCTCTGTGTCTTTTATGTTGGTCTTCGTCATTTGTATGTCTATCCGCTCACTTCCCTTTTCTTATGTTGAATGTTTGTATTATCGGACAAGAAAAGTTTTTTACAAAAAACATCAATAAAAAACCATCTTTTTAAAAATAGTTGTTGTTTGGATCGCGAACACAAACCAATGGAGGTGAATGAGATGATACTGCAAGGCAGAAGGTGATGTCACTTGAATTCGATTGATAAAAAAACGATCTGGACATGTTTGAATATCTATCGAAGAAAACAGTCAGGAAAAAACGAAAATAGATGTTTGGGTAGAGTTTATGATACAAAACAAAACAAGAAAAAAAACTGGTTGAGAGAAGAAAACTTTCTTGTTCGAAAGTTTCTTTGCAAATGTGAAAAGTTTCAAAATAAAGAGATAAATCAGTGTCA